CCTTTCTTTTGAGAAATATTGAATGTGTGTCTGATGCTTGGTGCCAGTTTGAGATAGAGAGATAGAAAGACTCAGGGAGTGAGATAGAAATAGAGAGAGAGAGATTTGATTTTTAAAACCACATCTCTTTTCTAATAAATCACGACAATCTCAAACATGACATATAATTTTCAAATCATACAGTGACAAAAGGTTTTAAAACGTCTCACATGAATACAGAGTTTAAAAAACAGCCGCCCATCAACAACAATGCAAACAGTTTTGGTGAAACACCACAGAGACAGAAACTCTTTTTCACCACTTCTTTGAATTGTCTTTTATATAATCAGCACCAAAGATAAAAGCAGTTTCAGACGAAGTCTCAATGCAGTTTAAAAACACAGTTTTTAGGGTTTTAAAAAGAGACTCAAGTCTTTCACAGTCCAAGAAAACATGACAAATTGTTTCTGGTTCTTGGCAGAAAGGAAATTCAATGGACATGGTGGGATTGATTTTTGAAAGAAGACTGTTGACCACCAGCGCCCCCTGCAGGATTCAGCACTGCAGATCACCTGACCTCTTATTTACTGTAATGGTGGTTTATAAAATAGCCTTCATAATGGTTTACAGTTATCCTGCACCCTCAGTCCAAATAGTGTCCTTTCTCCCGCTCAGCTTCATTTTGTGTACAGCTTGAACACTGTTTATACAGAGTTTTTCCATTTATCGTGTGCAGATCTGTAGCTGCAGCAGTTTTACACATCAGCAAAGGTGTTCACTTTAGCAGCTGAGATCATTCTAAAGGCTTCAACAATTTTTCTAACCTGATTATGTCTTCTTTGTTTTTAATAAAAACAACAATACCATCTGCATAAGCAGAAAAACTAAAATGTCTGTTAAAACCAGGTCAAAACAGACAATCAACAAAAGAACGAACATTGTGCAACATTTGTTCAATTCAAAGTGCATAGAGCATACCAGACATCGAGCAGCCTTGTATACAACCCCAAGTCAATTCAAAAGGTTTACACAAACCACCCTTTATTTTAAGTACACTCTCAATGTCTTCATGTAGAACCTTAATCTTGGCGATAAGTTCGGGGCTTCCCAAAGGTAACGGGGCTCAACCTGGTCAAATGCCTTGGATAGGCTGCAGCCACCTGCAGCTACAGCACCAGCAGCAGCGCCCCATCAGAGCGGCAAGGTCGTGGAATGTCAGCTTCAAATGAAACACCAGTGTTGTGTATAAGCGTGATAAACCTAGTGAGTACTAAAGAAGACCATTGTCTCTATGTGAACTGTTGAGTATTTAACAATTGTGTGATGGTATAGAAAAGTAAGTCAGAGATGTGCTGCTATAGTTTTCAATTTTTTATTATAAATAAATATAAGTGCCCTTTTTCTCGCTTGAGCCCCTGCCCCCCAAATTGTCTGTGCGTGTCCCTGGTGAGGTGTGTGGGTAAGTGAGTGAGTGAGTTTCTTTTACAGTATGTAATAATGTTCTGATTCATCAAAGGAGACAACCATTCATAATCACACTTACACCCACACTCAATGAAGATTCTCCAATTAACCTGGTGCCAGCAGCCGTAGTAAATCCAGCTCCAATAGTGTATGTTAAATGTGCTGCAGTTAAAACACACAGAGAAAGTCCCCTGCTGGCTGTCCACCCAGACACTTCTTGGAGTTGTATTGTAATATTTAAGACAAAGAAACTAATGAAATAAAGATGTTCATTTCTCAACAAAGTCCATTAGGTATGACACTGTAACCCACTGAATCAAAGTAAGTTTTGTTTCTCAGTATAAATCCATCTCAGTTTGGCCTCACTTTATCTTTGAGGCACAGTTGCGGTTCACATCCTGTCATTGCTTTCAGCTAAGGCACAGAGGAAACTGAAAGCTTTAACAGAAACACAAACACACACACACAATCAATGGATCTCATGCACTCATATCAGATCCGCTGACTCCGTTCCCATGAAGTTCATGGACTGAGAAAAGAGGCTAAGGTATAGTATGTCTTACTGTGTGTGTGTGTGTGTGTGTGTTTGTGAGAGTATGTGTGTGTGTGAGAGAGAGAGAGAGAGAGAGAGAGAGAGAGAGAAAGGAATTTCACTTCACTAGTCTGGTTTCAATTTTCAGCTGGTTTCAAAACCATGAGGAAGTGTGTGTGTGCGTGTGTGTATTTTCAGCATCTTGACTGGATTCAGCCACTGAACATTAAAAGAGTAAATAAAAGTACAAATTGGCCTTTATTTAGAGAAGATACAACAACACACAATAACCCAGAAAACAGTAGAAAAAACACAGAGTGCATAAAACATCAGTCAGTAGTAAAAGCCTGGAGCCATTGAAGTGTACGGTGTCGGATTACAATGTGTACACTGTAGTTTAGCACCAGGACAAATGGAAGTTATGTATGAGATCAGTGTAGATATCAAGGGGAGGGGTGTAACACTATCAGCAGCACCTATGGGCTGTAGGACTACATCTATTTGAAAGTTAAACATACAATGCATGGTCCATTGTGTAGGTTTATGCAGGATGTAGATGCAGAAAATTATATTTTAAAATATAATATAATATAATAATGTCAAACTAGGAATAATTGGGATTTTATCACTTTAAAATGAGCCCTTTATGTCTACATGACTCTACAGTAACCCAGAGCATCAATTCAAACACTGGCTCCATAAGGCCGTTCAAGGTTTCATGTTACCCGAAGGCCACTGTAGGTTCACCAGCACATTTGGAAGGGTGAGGAGAGGTTTGTTTTATTTCATTACAAAATGTAATGTCCCCATAACATATAACAAATCCTGCATACTGAAGCTTTCATGACCCAAATGTAATTTATCATGTCGGCTAAAGGTATACATTTTTTTTTTCTCAGCTGCCTCCGACTTACTTTTGAAAACCTACAGGAAGTGATCTATACAGTACCCTCATTGATGTGCAGGCTATCAGGCATACTGGGAAAAATCCTGGTGGACAGCCGCATGGGTTGAATAAGTCAATTTTATTCTTACCAGCCCTGTTAGTGTCTCTTACAACTTGTCTTTTATTTCAGCTCTGATTTGTCCATCTCTCAGAAGAGTGTTACACTCTGCTGCTTTGTTTTCTTTGCAGTTGCTATGATTCTTGTCAACAATGACACTTAACATGCAATTTTCCTTCACCCTGGTTGTTACCCGACAGTCCTATTTATTCTTCAAACTAGTCCCCTTCTACTTTTATAAGTCCAACTTATATTTTCATTGGTGATTTTGTGTGGTGACCATGACCAGCCCTCCCAAATCATTTTTTTCATCCTGAATGACATCATTGGACGGCTTACCTGTCATCTTTTTGCCTACTTCTCCTGTTCACTCATTTCATGTGACTAGAGTCTTTTATGATGACAGGCAGGAAAAACACATTATGGCTCAAACTAGTTTCCATCCATTATGCCTTTGCCTTAAATGAGTCATGGGTACAGAGTTGGTGATTCTGTGCTCCTCTTCCCAAATCTCTCACTTTATGTGTTTTTGGTGGAGGTCTGAAGCAAAGGGCTTGGCTTTTTCTTTCTTTCAGGTGTATACTACTTTTGGTTTCCCAAGCAGTGTCATCTTCACCTTTAACTTCAATATTTCTACATAATCACTCAAAGACATGTGCATGTATTGTGAGCTATACAACTCTTTTCTGTCTTTTGGCCATGAATTCATCAATCACCTAGCCATTTTGGGAAAAGCACTTATTTTAGTTGCAACAGTAAGAGAAAAGCTCTATATGGATTTCAGGTATTTTTTGTTGAGTACAGCGGTGGAGTCAGAACCTGGTTAGCTAGTGTAGGATGAAGACAGGAGGGCAGGGAAGTCTGCTTCTGTTCAAACTACAAAAAATCACCAACAGCACCTCTAAAGCTCACTGAGCAATGGTCTGTTAATACTATATGCTCTGTGAGCACAGTACAGGGACAAAACATACAGCATAAAGCAGAAAATTCCGATTTTGGTGACATGACTCAATCTCAAACCTGATTCTTGATGAGGTAAATGGAGCTGCACTATTTTCAAGCTCTTACTCCATTGAAGTATTACATGAAACATAAGCGATACACAGACTATAAACAATGTCCGGAGAATAATCCAGGGGGGGTCTAGGGCTCATTCAGACATTATCTGGAGTTTTTACTCAGGGGCCGGCAAGAGAAACTGGAGAATATTCAGAGTCATTGTGTTATCACATACAGCCTCTCTGGATAATTTCAGGATATTATCCAGAGCTCGGTGCAGGTTTGAGAAATGCTATACTGTAACTGGCACTTAAGCAAGCCAGCCATAATGAAAGTTACATTATGACTAAGCAGTAAAGTTCCAAGAAAGGTTTGGAAACATTCTACTTCTTCAGTATTAAGGTACAGTGTGTAGAATTTTGTGATATCTAGTGTTGAAGACCCCTCACCTCACCCTCTCCTTCCAAACATGAAAAAGAAACTGTGGTAGCCTTTGATTGTCATAAAAACTCAAAAGATTTTAGTTTGTCCAGTCTGGACTAATGTAAAAAACATGGCGGCCTCCGTAGAGAGGGTCCCCTCAATATAAAGTATTTCAATATAAAGGGCCTTTTTTAGGGTAAAGAAAACTACAATTCATGCAATTTAGATGAAACAAACTAGTGAAAACATCATAAGGATTATTCTATAGCTCCCCTTCACCTACATCTTACACACTGGACCTTAAATGAATGTTTTGTTGTCAATGTTGTGCCTCCAGCAGAAGTGAACATTAACAATGGGGGAAACCATAGTTTCCAAAACACTGGTAGTGCTGGTAGTGCAGGGCAGTGTTGATTGGTTATTAAAGTACAAAAATTGTGTTTTGATTTATTAGATTTTTCTGAAGTTTTATGTGTATCCCTATTCATTTTGGACAGAGCCAGGCTTGCTGTTTTCTTCCTGCTTCCAGTCTCCATGCTAGGCTAACCACATCCAGATTCCAGCTCTGACATCCAGGTATGAGTGTGGTATCAATATTCTCACACCCAGATAAAGCATATTATCCAAAATTATGGCAAATTAATTTACTCAATTACTTGCCTACAGTGCAGATTGAAAACACATGAAGTACAAATAACTGAACATCCCAATTTGCCTCTATAAACACGGCACATACTTTACTTCATGCATAGATTACTAAATCAACCCATCTCTGAAATCCCCAAGTCTTGGAAGCTATAACCTAACAGTGGTCAATAAATCAGGCTCAATCTTCAAACTTCATGACTCCATCAAAGCCATGGTAAGTGAAGGGCTCTAGCACGGGGCTGCATGGCTCCTGAACAAGGCAAGCCATCCTGTTGGTGTCACAGCTATCTTCGCTACCGGGTTCAAAATACACTCCATCAGGAGAGTCTATGGATGGATCCTTATCAAAGTAGTTGTGGGGCCGCAGCAGGACCCCACCCCCATTACCAACAGTTACCGTATTGGGGATGTCCTCTGCATGTGGGATATGGAGGAAACCCGCGGTCACCCAGGCAACCAGGTCCTGCAGACACAAACGTCACACAAATTCCTTTAGCTTTGTTGTCAGATTTAAGGTTTACATTTTTTTTGTAGTCTGTTGTAAGTTTTACATATAGATTCCATATAAATACACCTCATTTTCAATGCTTTCGTTGTCTTCAATGTATTTGCTGAAGTCGACAACTGGACTCCAGATGTTGTTTTGACTGTACAGACTGCTGCTGGTCTGCTCTGAGTCCTTATGCTTGGTAATGGCAACCTTATACCTGGAGACAGACAGAGGAGGTGCAGATAAAGTGGTCACTACAGGACAACAGCAAACTGAATTTCCTTACATTTGTCACAATCCTCCTGGGTCTGTTGCACTAATGGCGTCAGCATTATATGACCTTATACTGAGAGTGCATGGGATGGAACTAAAGCATAAAACAGCAAACATGTTTACTGGTGACATTTGGTGTGTCAACTGCTTTTGTTTTTACTGCTTTTCGCGATATGTATTCAATTACAGAACAGAGTAGAATATGAATCTGTTGATCCTGATTAATAATGTAAAAAAACTGCAAAAATTGTCCAATATAACTTCCCATAGTCCAAGATGATGTCTCAAGTCACCGTGCCCAAAGACAATCCATTTATGGTCTATTTGGGGATTTTACTGGTATTGCTGTTTACGTTTCTGCCAAGTGATTGTTGTTAGTTTTTATCTGTAGCATAAGAGAGGAGCAATGTCAGTTAAACAGCAGCATTTAACATCTACTAACATATTACACTGCAAAGCTACACATCTTAACAGACCACAGCAAAATTCACGAGTACATTAAATTAAGGAAGGCTGTGTTTTAATACTTATACATTTAAATTTCATTTGTGAGGAAGACTGTTTTCTTATTTTATTTAAAGGTTATAAGTGGATTAGGAACAAAATTTTGGAATAACCCAAACAAGAGGAGGGGAAAGAGTGGATGTCTTAGCTCAACATCTGGACCTAAGGTTCAAAATTAAAATGTGACGGCATGGAGCTGCAGAAGTCAAGTCTGAACCACAATATCAAGCCAAATTTGCAAATGTTGATCTCCAACATTTTGTTTGAGAATGTCGCTGCAGATGTTTGCACTGGCTGTTCATACTGCTGAGCATTTTCATAGGATTATACAAATTGTTTCATGAGAATATGTTGCAGGCGTCAGCGTTTTTAAAAATAAATGTTGATATTAAAACGTACAGTGGTCTGAAATTATTATAACATTTCAGACATACAGGCTTCCATCTGGCGGTGTATGTTCTGTACAACGGCTTCCTATCAGCAGCACATCGCCGAGGGTGCGTGCAGTGCGTTGGTGGGAGCACAAGCTGCACACCTGTAGCGGGAACGTGCATTCACGAGAGGAGCGCAATGAGAACAAGCTGTGTGTGACGGAGGATAAATATGGAGGGACAGGCAATGGAGAGGAACAGAGAGACAGAGAAGAGAGAGACTGTAAGCCAGATACTGCTGTCTTGAGACTTGTGAGTTGTGTACTTTGTGTTAACAGTTATTTAAGTTGGTTAAAGCTGGTAATTCGAGATCAGGCACTGCTAGGGGCTGCACGTTCAGCTCGAGTGCACGTCTGCGTCAGTGTATTTCTGGTTGCATTTTTAGTGTTTAATGTTTGTATAACTAATTGCAGTGGGTTAAGTAGTTTCAGAGTCCGTGTTTTAACAGACACGCCTGGAGCAGAGGTGGACAGAAGATGTTTCTAACATACAGTGTTTATATCCAAACATCACCAATCTCTTCCAAAGTGCTTTGTGCTTTGAGTCCACATTGAAACACAAGCACACCCTCTGTCTCCAAGCCTTCCCTGTCCACAGGGGAGCTCATCCTTCAATTGTTACTTCCCAGACCAAATGATGACTGTGATCTTTCAATAGAATAGTTAATATAACAAATTTAAATCAATGCAAACCAAACTGAGGCTGCTGCCATTAATATGTCATAGCCCAGTGGGTATCTTCTATCTAACTTTTAATCATGGACATTTAAGGATGAGAGGGTTACTCTGCAGCTGTCCAGTCTCACCTGGCCCAGGACATGGCCCTCTCCTCAGGCTCGCTCTCTGGAAGGTGGTCACCTGCAAAGCTGTACACTTGCAGCCTGTAGGAACGCTGGTGACCCCAGCCGTTCAATTTGTCACTGGCGATATGGAGGTAGCGAGGAATCTTGGTGTTGTAAAGCAGAGCTGCCTCCTGTGGAAGAGTCACATGCAGTGGACATTATTCCCATGGTCACAATTCAAGTGTTGCTTTGTTTGCTGTTACAAAAACAAAGTAACAAGGTAATACAAGTAATAAAGTAATAAGTGATAATACACAACCATCTGTACATAAAACTACATTCACATTAATATGTACTCATTTGGCAGTCGCTTTTATCCAAGGCGACTTACAACTGGGGACCAACACTAAAGCTTTACAGGTGAGTTTGAAGTAAGAACAAAGTACTAAATCAGTTAAATAAAGTAAAATGTGGAAGAGTGCTAAGCCCAAAAAAAGGGTTACTCAGCCCTGTAAGGGTGTTAGAGGTGTGGGGAGAAGAGCTGCTCTCAGAGGAGATGAGTCATCCAGAGGTTTTTCAAAATAAAGAGGGATTGCTCTGGTCTGGATTGTGATAGCCTTCTGTTCGGGAATGCAAACACCAGATAAAATTCCTTGGATGAACGTAGTAGGCATTAGGAGCGTGGATGGGGGATGGGTCAGAGCAAGGAGCAGCTTTAGGAGCAGTCCCACTTTAATCACAATAAGTTGTTCCTTGATGTAGTAAACCAAAGTTTACTTACCAAGGATTTGTTCTCAAGTAAATCACAATGCCTGTGCTGAATCAAAGTATTTGCATCTACTCCTTGGCACTCAGTTAGGAACGCATGATATTACATATTAAGGCAAAACACACTGAATGAGCAGTGCATGTTACTCTGCACACAATCCTCAGTGCATTGGTAGATCAGCTTGCATGTTTCTTGCAGGTGACATCAAGTTTGCACACATTTACATGAGCAACATTTAGTAGATCAGGCCCTAATACAGCAATTCTCCTTCATGAAGGTCTTGATGTAAAGTTTGTGTTGCATTTTGAGGAATGAATTTGTGAGTATGAAGATTATAATGTATACAACTGATGCATGAATTACTTATATAATTTTAGCTTGTTACTTTTACAATCCCTGGATATTAAAGCATACATCGTTTGTTTTTAAAGGTCATATAACACATTTTCCGAAAACATTATTTCTGAAATAAACCCATTCATTTTAGAAGGAATAGTACTGAAGAATAATGGAAGAACTTCCTTAAAATTCAATAATGGTTTCCACACATGTGCATATTATGACAAAATAACATTGAGACATTCTGGATCCTCAAGCTGTCTCCACACCACTGGTGTACCGGTTATGAGGTCAGTGAGGCCCACTGGGGAAAATCCCAGTGGGCCGCACTGACCCAACCCAAGAACCCCCCGCCCCCTACTCCAGGGCGGAATTTCCTCCCAGATCTTTGTCACAGGGTGTTCCTCATAACTCATCCTCTTTAAAACCCAAGTGAATAACAAAGGAAGTGAAAAAACATAAAGGCAAACCGTCTCTGTTTTGAGTTGATTCTCCACCAGCTGAGGGATCATAGCATAGCGATCAGGCATCCATGGCAGAGACACATTTACAAACTTCATGTCTTTGGTCTGGAATACATTCTTCACTCCTGCAGAAGAACAATGCAAACATATTTGTAATAATATTGCATTCAGTTGTTTGGTTTGGATTCTCTTGTAGCTCCATGTGACGAGTTAATATCTTTTAAATTGTGTAAATTAATCTAAAGCTGTACTGATATAATATTTTTCTGTCTTCAAGTACTGAATAACTATATAGAGAAGTATTAGCAACTCGGAAGTTGTCCTCATCCTCAGCTCTTTTGAGCATTTTAAAGCCACTTTGTTTTTTCGACTTTGCAGTAATACATGGATCAAATCTGTTCTTGCATCAGTTTCACCTCAAAAGGCAATGGACACGGAGCCAAGCTCTGTGATTTATAATGGTCCCAGGTTGAAAATGCATTGCTTGCCCTTTATCACATCTATTTTGGGCATTTGTTATAGCATCATCTTCTGACAACAGACAAAGGGGCATCTAGTATTTACTCTATAGGAGCAAGAGAGCTTTTGAGATGAGTGGCTGTCAAAAAGAGAAGCTTACATACAAGGATCCCACTACACTACCATTACAAAAGAAGGCCCCTTAGACGCCTTGAACTCATGAACTCTGTGATTCTATCATCCTGGCTACAGCTCAACCCTGGACAAGACGTCAATAAGTCTTTTCATTTTAATAAACCCTAACGTAAAATAATATCAGCCTTTTGTCTTTGACCAGCTTTCTACTGTTGTATGCCCTGTGCCGATAAGCAGGTTTTGATGTAGTGCTGCATTAGATGTAAGATTATAGTGCTTGAAATTAGTTAATTTATTTTATATATTATATCAATTGTAATTATGCAAAACACAATATTATGTAAAAATGATCATGCACTGATAAAAAAATAAAGTATTGGCAGCACTAGGGTTAAGGGGGCCCCTCAAATCAAATTCTATTAAGGGCCCCATAAAGGCTTGGTTCGGCCCTGGGCACTGCCTCTCACCCAACACATCCAAGTCCACTTTGAAGTTGATGAAGTGGGTGTGGATGTTTCCCAGGACCTTGTCCGCCACCTGGTGCCCGTGTCTCCGACTGCCGTCCACCAGGTAAGTGGAGGAGATGTAGCCAGTGGCATGCACCTTGGCCTCCACTGCTCCGTTCTGGTAGAAGATGAAATCCCACATGTAGTCGTAGTTTCCTATAGCTGTGATCGTTCTGATGATTAAGGCGCTGTTCACCATCCCTCCATAATTGTTGTGGTAAAAGTCCGCGAAGTGCCTCCGCAGGGGCTGACCCATGTTGTGCTCAAAGATGCAGATCGAATTCCTGAATCTGACGGGGTTTGGGACATCGATGTAGCGATATGTGTCAACGTAGGTGGCTGCGTTGGGACAATCCACGCCACGGACCAGTTCGTGCGCAAAGCGCCCTATACCGATGCTTGTATCTAAAAACTTGGTGATTATCATCCCCGGTGTTACGGAGCCATACACCGACATGGCCTCTTGAACGCTCAGCTCGTAGACTATCCTCTCACCCTTGAACCGTACATCAAACACCCGCATGCCCGTGAGAGAGCTCAACCCGAAGGCGAAGCTCCAGTCCAGGTACAGGACCTGGTTGTGGTTCACACTGAAGCGCTTCCCCTCTGCGTAAAACTGCAGCGGGGGCACTTGCAGAGTCTTGGTCCTGGGTTTCAGAGAGCCATAATCAGGGGACTCCTTGTAGACAATCTTTTTGATGGAGCCACTCTCATATTTCTGTCTAAGCCCTGCCACCGTGTCGAAGTATTGCCCGTTATAAAACAGCTTCGCGACCTTCCAGGCGGACGTGTTTACGCTGTCGTGGTTGACCAGCACCTCGAAGCCCACCGGGTGGATGTATATGCCGCTCATATCCCTGCTGAAGGCGATCCAAGTGTGTCTGTCCCCGGACCGGACTCCGCGAGGCATCTGCTCGAACGCCGCCAGCCCCTTTCCGTCAGAGTTGAAACTCTCTTTCAGGAGCTTCTCCAGCTGGGAGAAAACTTCGACTTCCAAAAACTTGAAAAGCGAAGCATATTCGCCGACAGTGACCGTGCGCGCATTGATGGGCAGCTCCGCTTTGTACTTCTCTACGGTCACATCTCTGTGCTTTGTCGGATTAGGAAGAGGCCCCACAGTGTACTCCTTGATGTTGCCCTGGGCCCCGTGGAACACGACCACCGTCGCCTCCCTCACTGGCTTTGGACCTTTGCCGTCTATGTAAGCCAGCGCGTCAGCTTTCTTTGGCATCGAGAGGTCTATTAAGAACAAGAAATTTTCAGATGGATTGGAGAGTTGTTTGGTGGATATGTCCAAGTCTTTCTGACGGATCATGTACTGCTGGACCTGCAAGTACTCCTCCCGGGAGAGGTCCGCGAACACAAGGCTGCGGTCGTCGTGCTTGGCCTGCAGCGGGTGGACGCGCTCAACGGGACATTTGGGTGCCCTGCTGGAGGACATGCCAAGCAGAACGATGTTGAGAACGATGGAGACGAGCGCGAAGAGGATGAGCGCCCATTTCACTACAGAGTTCATTTTCCACTCTACTTTTACGCACGGTCTCGGAGACAGAGAGACACAGCGCGCGCAGAGAAGTGAATCCTGGGTAAAGGCGAGCAGTCTGACGAGGTTACAGAAGAGAGGCGCCCCCCTTAACATCTTCCTTTCTCACCCTCCCCAGCCTGGATTTCATAATGCATGACCCTCCCTCTTCCTTGGAGGGAATAGTTATGCGACTGCTGTTTCATCCAACCTCTACTCAGCCACACAGCAAACAGGACTGTTTTACGCACGCTATTTAACCGTTTGATAAGCGATTAATAAATAAATCGACTATGTTATTGGAAGAGAAAAGAAACAAACTCTATAAATATGAAAATGTTAAAACATGAAAAACGCTTCATGCGCTTTGAGGCACACATAAGGATCTTACTAAAGCCACAAGGAAGAGCCGTCTCCGTTTGTATACTTGAATTTTGAGTTGAAGTTTGCTCCACTGGAAAATTATTATACTGTTATTTCCATATACTGCCAGAAAGTTTGTTTAAATCCATAAAAAAGTCCTCAATTGCAGATTTCCCAGCATGCATACACTGATGTGTATTTTGAATAAGATATTCTTGATGGGAACTTGCTGTGCATCTTTAGTAGTAAATTAAGTCCCATTGTTTCTTGTCATGTTGTGTAAACAACAGTTACCACGGGGGACACTATTATCAGATTCTTAGCCCTTTGCTCCTATGTCATTCATGTCATTCAGGTGGACACTCCCAAATCTTTTATTTATAATAGCTTTGTGCCTGAATGTCTGTTAATTATTATTGTGAAAACAGTATCAGCCTTTAAAAATCCCAACACTGTTTGTTATCAATAAGTACATACTCCCCTTTATCTCCCACTAATATTATAGAGAACACACCCCCTATGTCCTCAGTGGTAAAAAAATAAACCCCAAACATTTACAAGTTGCTATAGAAACTATAATCATCAGCCTTGTGGAAATAGAAATTGAGTCTTTTGCTTTGACAAAACTTTTAAAACTTCTTATGGCTTCAGTTGACTAAATGTCTAGATGTTTCTTTACTTTCCTGTCAAATGTAGTTATATTAGTAGTCATATTCACCTGCCAACATGCAAAGCAAATCCCCCAGACTCTACCTTTTTCCTGATATAAAAAAAGCTACATGGTCATCTTAAATTTGCACACACAATGTAACACATTTGAGTTGTGGAGATGTAAAAACTGATAGTTTCTTTTTCACATTTCTTGAGAATATTTTCTTCTCTTCCATTTGTTTTCATTTGTGTAGGACCCAAATATGTCAGACATTGTAACACAATTAATCAGTAAACTGCCAGGTTATGGTGAAAATAATGGGACTACTCTACAACAGCTAAATAACACACAAACTTTCCTGTGAGTAACTTTTGCTTAACTTTTCCATGAACAGTCAAACAATGTGTCAGGCATTATAGACATCATAGAGTTTTAAGGTCAGCTAATAGAATTTGAATTATTTACCAAAGCACAATAACTCCCATTGGAAACTATTTCAATGAGCAAAATAGATTTTTTTTACAGCCTCTGCCCCGGCTTTAAGACAAACTACCATCTATAGCAAAAACTAATGCTGTTTAATACTGGATTCAATCACAGCCCTGTAATAAATCACAAATTCACGAGCATTATAATGAGTTTTTGTTGAAATTGTTTGAAAGAGGTGTTGATTCAATAATTCATTTAGGGATTAGTTTGTGGTATTGCTGTAGTTCGTTGAAACACCCTCCCTACTATACCAAGGTATCTGCTTCTTCACAGAAAGCTACAGTGACTTTTATCACGCCTGGTCACTGTCATGCAAAATAATTCAGTCAGCCCCGGAGACATGCAGGTGACTGGAATCTTGTTGCTTGTCCACCACTCCAAGTCTTAGTCCCTCACCAAACATGAAGAATCAAATCAAACCAAACTAAAGCTGGCCTCATGCAGGTGAGCTTTGAGTTTCTGGACCCCACAGCTTCCCCACAGTATGGCGACAGTACCAATATTTGGGAAACAGCTTGTAGATATAACACTTTTAAGTGAAAACATCTTTTCAGGTCCTGTAACATGTCGGTCACTTACATGTTTGTTTCTGTCATTTCAAATTTGTAAACTTAAATGGGAACTGCTAAAAGCAAAAAATACACTCTTACTGGCAACTTCATTTGTTTATAGAATTTTTTTGGGGGGGGTTATATTTTAAAGTTAATTGTCTTTTAAATTCACCAGATGTCTTGTAATTCATGGCTCAGCTAACATGTATTTATTATTAATACTTTCTTACTGATACACAAACATTAATGCAACCACGAGGAAAAATATTAATAACAAATGTTTGTGAATGTCCAACAACTTGTCATAAACCAGCACCACCCTCAGTGCAACTAGACCAACGATGCACCGCCGGGTGTGCTGTGCTGTAAATGGCCAATTTAAAGGAGTATGGGGGTACCAGCAGCTTCATATCAGTGACCTGGCCCAGTCCTTATAAAATCATAAATTTGAAGGAAAATAGCAAATTTTGCTGCACTGAGACCACATTTTTAATAAATACTGCTACCTCTACCAAAGGATTCTACTCAAACTCACTAACTTCAACAGTGACATAGGAATATGTATTCAACTACATTTTTAGCTCTTTATCTGTCCCTTGACGATAGGATCAACAATGGACGGGACCCCTGTTGTCGTTTCTTCCAGGTTCTGTCAGGTCACTCAGAAAAGCATGTCAGGGTTAAATGACTTGCTCTTGCATCGCCGTGCTTCCTGCCAGCCTGGTGGGAATTGTTTTTCCCAGATTAGACGCACAGACAACATTCTCTCCTGTGTACGAAACCTGACCCCTTGCATGTGTTTTTGACAGCCACATGATTATCAGATGTTTCTACACCATATTAATCCAAGACATCAGCCACAGATGGATGACACATTTCCACATCCTCCCTTTGCACAAAATGGAGCCAAATGTCTCTATTACAGGCTCTGTTTAGTTTTAATTAACACTTATTTTTCTCACTTATAACTGTTTCATTTATGCACAAAACAGAGTTGGTGCAATGTGTACTTCACTTCCAAGGCAGATGTTATCCATCTGTCACTGAGGTTAGTGATGTAGATCCCAGGTATGACCCTGCAAACAAAAGGTGACATGAACTTATAGACCTTTTACCATAGTCGCTGTAAAACACAACTATATGTCATTCCACACATACTTCCTGTATCCCGTAATTCATGCTTTAAAATGTAACAATGGGTTTAAATGAAATAATAATAAACAGTGAATTATTTAACACGAGGAGATGAAATGTAAAAGAAGTAAAGCTGGAGCTCAGAGGTTTCAATCCAAGTAAGTAAGAACAGGGCTCTCATTTAAAACAAAGTGGGGTCGGCCATATGTGTAAGCTGCTTCCCAGGCAAAAGTTGCATTACATATTATGTAACGCATTCCCACCAAGACCTCGTGAACAGCACAGCACTAAAGTCTTATCTTATATTATGGAGAACTTTGTTGCAAAGAGATTGAAGACAAAAAAAGCCACTGACTTATGTTTAATACTGGATTTATCGCTGCACTCTACAATTTGAATTCTATACTATCCATGTTTAGAACAGAGCCCCTCCCCTATGGGTTGTAATAACCTAAGTGCTTTTTCAGGATAAGGAAAACTCATTGCTCTCACACTGTCGCAGAGATAAAATTAAAAGAAATCAGAAAGCACATTTAAAAAGATTGAAAAAGAGCAGAATAAAAAAAGGGATTAAAAGAAATGAATAGCATAAAATCTGTATAATAATTTGAAAATAAATTGAAGGAGTAAAGTGACTAAAACTGTTTCTCCTTGTTTAGATTTTACCACCAGCAGAAATCTCCCCATGGGATCTCAGAGGTGTGGTTGGGTTGTATGTCTGTTATGTATTTAGGGGCAGCTCCTTGAAGATGTTTAAAATCAATCCTGTGGCTTATTGACAGCCAATGTAGAGATTTAAGAACAGGGAGGATATGAGCTGTCTTTTGAGTCTCAAGTTTCAGGAAGGCCTGTTGTTAGTATAGTCGTGTTCAGATAAAACGATGTCTAACATTCTGTCAAATAAAGTGGCCTGCATGCACATTTGACTCGTGGTCTGTCCTAGACCTGGGCCATATTTAAGGGAGTTCCTGTTTGGATATGTGCAGCAGCAAGTTGGTCCTCGCCCCTTGCTCTTGTTGGCTTCCACATGTTGGACATCTCTGCCCTGTGTGTGAGTCTTGATTGAAACAGTGTCTTGTCTGCACTACAGAAGCTACCACATCCCATAATGAGACATTGAATGGAATATTATGAAAAAGGACCTTAGGCTATGTGCATATAACCCTGGTTCTTTGAGTAACATAACCAAGACGTTGAGAATCGATGACAGGCTGCTCATCTGAATGACACGGTGTCATCTACACTAATCATCTGCACTAGCAGGTAGAGCACCAGGTCAGTTAGGTTGTATGTACAGATTTGAATTGTTTGCTTTCAGGCATGTGTGTGTGTCCTGCTCTGTTTTAGTGCTGCAGGAAATATTATCTCCGGAGCAGATTAAAAGTGTTTTTTCCTTTGTGACACAGGAAAACCTGAGTCGGACCCTAAGATAGTTGGTATCCATGTAATACAGGCCCATGGTCCACAGGCAGGACTGTTGTATTCCACTTCTAACACACAAATATGGTGCGCACAAAAGTTATCATTAAATCCCTTTTTTCTGTCTTTTTATTTAAATGAAATAATAGTATAAGCATTAGTAGCTGTAGTATGGTAACATAATAAGTGGACACCCCTCCAGCCTTAATGGAAGATGCTGAGATAGAGACAGTCAGCAGCTTCAGATTCCTCAGAGTCCACATCACAGAGGACCTCTCCTGGTTATTCCACACAGACACCTTGGTCAGGAAAGATTGTCGGCATCTCTCTTTTCCCAGGAAACAGGGGAATTTTGGTATGAATGCCAGAATCCTCACTAAATTCTACTGGTTCCCCATCGAGAGCTTGCTGATGGGCTGCATCACAGTCTGGTATGTGAGCTGTTCTGCTCACAGCCACAAATAACC